AAGATTACGTTATTTGCTGTTGGAGATTGTGGATTTTTATCCCCAGAAGTAAATCTCTATCTAAACAGCACTTTGGTGATGTGTTGTTTGAATTCTTGATTGTCAATATTTATTTCTTCATATAACTTATTTTTTATTTATTTATTTAAAAAATGTTAATAATGACTTGAATAAATATCAATTAACAAAAACTTAAGTATTCATAAATATAATAGCATAGTAAAGACTTTCTCAAAGGCTTACAGTCACAAAGGTCTTCCTTTACCTCACTCTCAGATAGCGCAATTTCGATCAAGGCTAATGCAACGTCATAGATTCTGTTGCAAGGGATATAAACTTGCATCTTGCTGCAGTCTGTTGGTTATCATTGCAAACCTTGTCTTTGGTTCCACCATGTGTATGTGACAGCTCACTAGGCGATATATCCTACCTGCACTACTGTGCTTGTAGCTCAGCTGAAGCATGAGGCTTCTCTGTGAGTCTTGAATCCATATCCAATATGTATTGCACTAGATTAACTAACTTAAAGAGAGGCACAAGGTACAGCAAATAATGGACTTGCTGTGGAACTGGGCTTGGTGAAGACAGACAACTGCAATGAACCCTTTAGAAGTGATGTACATATGTACAGGTGTGGCCTCACATACAGATGGCACGGTCATCTGACTTGATGCATGCTGTATCCCATAAAATATGTGCCTACACTGTTCTCTGCTTCAAGGAACACAAGTTATAAACAACATTTTTTAACAACATGTACTAGAACACATGTGGATCTGTCCATTTAAAACAAAACAAAACCAAAAAAAAACCTTTGAGACTCTATTAGAAACCTATGTAGGACATACACTAAAGAGTCACACTACACACCATTACAAGCCTACTTATGAACCAATTGCCAAGTATGATCAGGTGGCACTTGAGTTATTAACGTTCTCCCCAATGCACCAGTTCAGGGAAAAATTACCTGTAGCTGCACAGCTGTAAAATCAATTTCATCCCAAGTCAGTTGGTATTATTATGATTATCATTTGTCCAATTTGAATCGTAGTGGAAGCTGAGTAGGTACTGCATAATGCTTTAGTGACAGTTTTTAATCAACTTATATGAACTGTGCCATATAGTGGAAATATTACTGTTCGTGGCTTTATTTGCTTTCGGGGTCGAACAAACTCAAACAGGAGCTTTTGGCCGGCTTTTGGCCAGCTGTAGTAGCCAATTTGTCTTTTTTCTCTTCCCTCGTCTCTCTTGTCCTGTCCTCTCTCCACACCTCTTCTCCACTTCACTCGTTTCCTGCATCCAGTTGTGCCTGCAGACGCGGTTGTGATGATGAATCTGTGGCTGCAGTGTGTCTGTGTTTCTGACATTGTGATGTATCTCCACTGGCCTTAACTCCCTCTCTATCTCGCCACTGCCCCCACCCTCACCCCCAGTATCCTTTTCTCTCCATCTCTTTGTCTCTGTCTCTCTGTCTCCTCCTTTCTCTCTCTCTTCTCTCTCGCTTATTCTCTCACTTTCAATGATCAGGCATTGCTTGGCCCCCTGCCTCAGTGATGGAACAGACAGAACACACAGACCCACCAACAACAAAAACAAACAGGAACTGAGCTCCACGATTTGCCGATTGATTTTTACTGGGGGCATTTCTGAAATAGCCCATCTGACCTTTCGGCCAAATGGTAGTGAATAGAGGAAACAGAAGTGCTAAGCCTATCGCACACAAAACCTCTGCCAACAACTATCTGACCAGACTACACTGCTGGTGACGAGGTTGAGCTTCAGGTTGCCGGTATATACATAAGCACAATCACAGGATTAGCTACATCAATATACAAAACTAAAATCCTGCAGCTCAGCTGGAAACACCTAGAGCATAAGATGTTCATTACAACCCATACCGAATAGAACGCTGTATTTCTTTTGTATTCTGGCATTCTTTTCTTTTCTTTTTTTTTTTTAGTGAAGCTAAGTCTGTCCTAAGGTTCGGGCTAGAGGAAAAGATTGTTGCATAATTAAAAAGAGAAGGTTTTATCCCCTTAGAAACACAGATCTAGTCTCTGTAAACTTAAGAACAAAGTGCCTAAATTATGAGACAGTCTGAACAAAGTTAGTGTTTTGGCCAGCAGAAAGCTCGTGGACTGTTCAAAACAGAAATGGTTCATCAATTAGAGAGCATTTAATAAATGTCCCAGGATTCTGCTTATTAATTTCCAACATTTCTTTGGTACAAGTGAAAGCTCTGGTCTAATCATGGCACTAATCAGGGTGTGATGCCCACTCGTCGGGTTGAAGGTAAGTGGGGTCCTCAGGCAAAGATACTATGTGGGGCAAAAAAGACAGGTGCATGGTGGGAAGCTAAATATGGACAATCAGCAGAGACAATGCTGTGTAGTTAAAAACAATTAATTTCTTTGGCTTCAACAGGAGTCAAAAATGTTATCTCTGCTTTTTGTAAAACTTGGTCATAACACTGATAATGAATACATATTAAATATACATCCATCTATTTTCTCCTGCTTAACCAACCTATTAGCTGGGTGGGACACAAGGAGAACATGCAAAATCCAGAAAGACCCCAAGTGGGCCACAACACCAGTGTCCCACCTATTACAATTCTTTAATAGTTTAAATGAGGGTAAGATGACACAGTTGTTTTATATATGTATCAAACTCTATAAGGCAAATGTGTGATTTTAAAACTGACTTAACTAGACATTCAGCCTGAGCATTTCAATTCATACAATTTATTTGCGAGTCATGGTTAACACCTGGCTGTCAGGCTCCAGCACTGATTCAGGTCTGCAAAAGTAGTTTCACAGCACAATGTACCTGCCTTTTTAAAAACAAATCATGCGCCAGCTCAATTTACATGCCAACACTTGGTTCGAGTATATAACACTCTGTAATTCCATCTCCCCAAAATGATGACTGTTTGGTGGTAGTGGTTGTGTGTGCGCGTGTGCATATGTGTTAGACTATGTGTGTGTGTGTGTGTGTGTGTGTGCGTGTGTGCGTGTGTGATCAGGGAGAAGGGCTTAAAGAGAGTCGGCTCCTCTGCCCGTCGCCTGGAAGAGTAGCTCGGGCTCATTATCCTGATGAAATTTGCGCAGATGTGTGAGCTGCCGACAGACTCTGCAGTGACACAAACAGCCAGCTCTGTCCCCTTGAGCCAGTCAGGTGATGAAAACTGGAGAGGCACGGGGGCTGAGAAACGACGGCCATTAAGCAAAAAAGAAAGAGGTGAGGGAGGGTGGAAAAGGGGAGCTGAATGTGTGTGTGTATGTGGGGGGTGGGGGCAGTTGGAGGGGTTGGTGAGTTTTCCTCGTCTCTATCTAGCGGGAGAAAGCATTACATAAAGTAACAATTTCCAAACCACCTTCTTAAAATTCCAGATGAAAATGAAAATGTGCATACATGCACGCGGCATCTCCTCACGAGGCACTAATCTGGCCGTATCCAGATGACGAGCGGACTGCCACTTAACAGGGAGGAGATCCACTTTGATCACATGGCCCCTGGGGCAAACCTATCGCGCTGCCTATTACGCTGCTTCATTTGCATATGTGGGGCTTATGGGAAGGCTGAGATCTAGTGTGAATGTTCTAAACTGCAGCAGGGCTCACTGTTGCTAGAAAGAAATGTCCGGAAGAGAAGAAGAGAAACGACAGAGTGCCGCAAGCAGCCTGTGGTAAGTGCACTTGTCACTTTAAGGTCACAAGTTCAATATCACACTCTGGCTAAGTACATCCTAAAATTAAAAATTCTGGCCAAACAACAATACAAGAGTTTCCGTTGAACGAGATAGATGCAATTAATTCTTAATATAAGTGGCCAAAAGTGTAGAACTGTGTGAGCATAAATGATGGTGTAAGTCAAAAAAGTGCATGCATGCTCAGTAAACTTTACTTAAATAAACAAAAGGCTTGCTTTAAAAGAGTAAGCAAGTTAGACAAAACCCTGTGTGCTCCTTACATTCTACATCAACAACAACAACAGGTGAATGCTGCTCGTTTTATCCTCCTGCCTACTCAGACTTTTCAATAGAAGCTCCACACAGGCCTCTTGATCTTTGTTGGCAAGCCAAGGACTGAAAGCACCCAGTGAAGTTATTCGGGTGTAAACAAAAAAACAAGACAAAACAAAAAAAACAAAAAAATTAAAAAGGCAAACTTCCGCTGTGAAAGTGCTATTTCCTTTTCCTTTGCGTAAACAACATTAACCATCCACTAAAACACGGTGTGGTCTACTTTCTGAGCTCCACTGGGAATTCATTTTATACAAGACCTGCACTTGAGATGAAGCGCCCCCGTTGTACAGAAAAGAAATGCACTATACCAGTTTAAACACTTCCCAGTTTGCAGAGCTAAGTGTTATGCCTTTGCATGTTGGAAAAGGAAATAACTCTTTTTACTACTTTTTACTAGGAAAAGTTATTGCAGACCATGAACTGGTACATCTTAAAACCTCATTCATCATATACTTTTATGCTTTTGCTGAACTATGCATCGCTGCAACTGGACTAATTTACAAACAGATATAAAAAGTTAATCCATTTTGCTCTCTCACTATAAATTCTGTTGCACTGTGTAGGCTAAGATAATCGCACTTTTATGTGGCAACAAAATTTACATAAAATGAATACAAATGTACTTTTAAGATGAGATACAGATGTGCCAAAAGTGAGTTGAGAAATTAACAGTAAATAAAGGACACCATCTACCGAAAGACAGCGGGCCCAATGAAAAGCAATTAGTCAAAATTTACACTGCTGTGAGACGACACAGATGAGGAAAAGAAAAAAGAAGAGGGGTGGAAGAAGTGGAGGGTGTCTTGGGTGTGCAGAAAATCATTTTCCACACTTGGGCTTCAATCTGCGCGAATAATTCTTCAAACTTTTTTAAGTCCGACTTTAAATGGCATTACATATGTAGTGAGGCATGAAAAATTAATACGTTGGAGTCGGGGAAATGTCAAGGGTAATGATCTCCGCTGCAGCTTACCTCCTTAGCTTTCTGTTTCAGTCGAGCTTGCTCTGGGTCTTCTTGCCTGGAGCGACTCTGTGGAGCAAAGGAGGGGGGGGGGACACAGGTTAACAGCTGGTTTAAGGAGCCCACAACCTCTCCGCTACTCATCTGTTGCTGCGGCAGCAAAAAATAGTGCAAAATGGGAACAGGATACAGAGGTGTCAAGGACATCGTATCTGAATTCAGAGAACAGCAATGGAGCGCCCCCCGGGGGGCAGTGGCCTTTAAACCCGCTCCAAATCCAGCCCTAAATAAGCCGCTGGAGGGGGATTCTAATCAAAAGAGGTTATTAAAAATTCTGCTCGAGCCAGCACGCACACACGCGCACACACAAGGGGGAAAGGATGTTGGTGACTATCAGTGGCAGAGAATGTCTATGTGTCACTGAGAGCCAGTGTGGCTATCCGTTGCTTTGTGTTTGTGTGAGTGTATGTGTCCCTGGCATAACAACACAGCACTTCTATTTTAATCAGCTGCTAAGATCTGGGTGAATGTATTTGTCCCTGGGAATCCTTCACCACGCAGCCAAATGTACATGTACAGCTGACCACTGCAGGCAACAGCGGCAGATTATGGCACTACACAGTAATTGCGCGTTGTTTGTTAATCTGGAAATAATCTATGCATTTGATTTTTTTCCCTATTAAGATGAGCAGAAGTTGATCGTCCCTAACATTTTTGTGCAAACAAAGCTCTCAGTTACTGTCTAACCTGATTTTGGTAGCTCTATAACGTCTTCATTTTATTCCCTGAAACATTGCAAAAGGTTAATCGTGTAGGTCTACATATGTAGAGAACCTGTCATATTTTATTTTTACAATACAGCCTCCATCTCAGTGAAGTGAAAAGCTATCTTACTTTCATCTAATTTCTTCAAACAACAAATCAGTTAGAACATGCGCCAGGCCATCCCTATTCCCTACTTAACATTACCTCCCTTCCTCTCCTTATGTACTCTCTCTGATGGACGGAGACCTGCTCTTCATAGCCTTACTGCTAATTGGCTTTAAATATATCAGGCAGTTCACGTAGTGGTCGGTATCTCAACTAAGACTAATGTGTTTGCCCTCCAGTCGGCCAGAGCATCCCTCAAGACTTGAGTCATATTTTAAATGGCTGGCATAGCAGAGGGTAAGGCTTGTTGTGAAGGAAGGAGGAGGGGGTGGAAAGGATTATTTCAGTGCGTTTCTTATTCAAGAGGTCAAATTAGCGGGCGCTCGAGCAGCAAAGAGGCAGGCAGGGAGGTGGGTGGAGGATAGGAGGGGTAGGTACAGATGGACTGTTTACAAAGGGCAGTGGTGCCACTGGCATGCTTTACATCTCCTCTGTCAGCTGCCCTGGTTTCCCCACTTACAGGAGTGAACAGAGTCGAGAAGGGAAAAGAGGACTGCGTACTAAATGCTGACAAGCTTTGTTGGTTTTGTGTAATTGAGTGTACTGTGCTTAAAAAATGCAGTGTAGTATAGTATATACAAACAGTCTGGGAATGTATTCTGGAGCTGTTTTGTAATGTTGAAATTTCATTTTGTTGCCAAAAATGAATTATGAGGACAATCAGAGGGTTATTTTTCTTTGATTAAGCTCTGGGTTCTATGTGGAAACAGCAAAGTTAACATATTCTCCCAAATATTTAGATATATATTTATTTAATATTTAAATATTTGAAACTTGTCATACTTCTTTAAGTTACCACTGATAGTATTTATAAATCTGATCAATCTTATTTCCTTTACAAATTACAGGCAAAAAAAAAAATAATATCCACCAACAAACCGCCGGCATCAAGCTTCACCGTAAATCTTTCTTTTATGAAACTTTAAGTCAATAAATGGCTCACTTATGCAATATAAGAACATAACATTATGAATTATTGAGAGTTTTAACATATTCAGCGATCTATATCTCTCAAATGAAGGCTGAACATGAAATACTATGTATAAAGAAGCTCCTTTATAGTTTAGTGAACTGAGCCAAAAACATAACATTTAAAGTGAAACAGTTATTAGAGGAAGTCAGAAAAATCGAACCAAAAATCAAGTTAAATCATCAGCCACTCCCTAACAGTATGTAAGTGTTTTAGGATGGATTTTTCCTGCTTTCCCTTAAATCAGTCTGTTATATTGGCTGCAGAGTATCAAAGCAAGTGTACCATAAAACAGATGTGATACCTATAAAGCTGTAAAGGGAAAAAAAGCAGAAAAAGTAAAACGAATACATGATTAAATAATAGAGAAAGTACTACAATATTATCAAGCACTGTTTGTGTAGTATATTGTTCAATTTTCTTTCCAAACTTCTCCTTGAACTGAAACGCCATGGCAACAAGAGCCAAAAAGCCACAGACGTGGCTCTGAGGTGAAGTCAGACTTTCCTCAACGAAGCTCAGGCAATCCAAACAGCCCCGAGGTAAGCCCTTCTAACAGAACTTGGCTACATTTGCAAAAGTTCTTCAGTAATCCTGTTAATAAAGAGAGTTTTCCAAAGTAAAAAAAAATGATTAGAGTGCTCAACCATGTAGAACTGGGACCTGACAAAGAGGATCCTAAAGCTGCACTTTTTCTTTTTAAACAACCAACTTTACAGTTTAGTTTCCTGCTGAGGCAATGTCTTTTTTTCCATCTAAAAAAACAGAAAACAAAAAAAAAAACAGATAGGTCATGGGGTTTGGTGGCCCTGTTCATCAACTAGAGGATTTTCTAATATCCTGCATGGCAGGACTGGAGCGTAATAATGCAATTAAGACAGTGAGGTGTGCTGCAATGAGAATCTTTACTGTGGGACATTGGCTCCATTCAAAATTAATTAAATTAACCTAGCTTCTGCTAATGTTACACTGCAGGGCATTTTCATTTGCAAAAGATTCTCTTTCTTTTTCTGGTCAGTGGTGATCTTCTTTTACTGAGAGACAAATGTCTTTACATGCACAAAGCTGAGATCAGAATACTGGCCATGTGTCAGTGCTACTAGCACCCCATTAGTTTTGATCATTTTTTTTTTAAGGCTAGGGCAAGTAGTCCTGTTCTAAATGTCATGTGCTACAATGTTTAACTGGACGAAAGTAACCTTCAATCTGGAACAATTTTAAAGAACAGAGAATTAGGTGTCTAACTATTGTCCAGTTTCACAGTTCACCACCTTCTAGGCTTATGCATCATTTTTGTTTGCTTGTTTATAAAGGAGATCATAATCAAAATAAAACTCCGTTATTGGATTTCCACCTTTACCTCAAGGATCTTTAATTATTACGGCTTTAAAAAGGAAGGCAAGCTTTAAAAAGGGAGTAACCACTCCAGATGACTAACTAGCATAAGCAGGATAAGCACATGGCTAATTGTCATATCATTACATAATGCACAGTAACAAGCGAATTTGCAAACTGCAGTTTATAAAATGCAGTCTTAATTAAAAAAGAAAATTTATAAACCAGCACGTATTTATTAGGTGTACTTTACCACAAAGACTGGCTAACATACCAGTTAGTTCCCGCCTCTCCTCTCCCATACTGTCAAATAGAATTTTTGATTTGACTGTTTACAATCATGAACAGAGTTTTGCTGCACTTACCCTTGATAACATATCTGTATCATGCCTCAGTTAGTAACATGAGACCTCAATGGTCATGATGTTATTGAAGCACAATAATCAGATGCCTTATAAAAAAAAATATTGCATTCAAACAGCCTTGAACTGGACATGTATGGAAGACTTTGGCAACAGCAAAGATAGCATGGAAGGATATTTTATTAGCACAGTTGAAGCTCCTTGGTACCAGCTGAGCATCATTTAAATGGGACAGCCTACCTGAGTATTGCTGACCATTGCTGAGATAAGATGATGTGCTATGTCACAGAGATAAAAAGGTTAAGTTCACTGTACTCAAATACAATCACCAGACGCACCAATCCAACAGAGCCCCTTCGGGATATAGTAGAACAGGACATTCGCATCATATTCAATGACAAATCAACTGT